CGGTTTCCTTTGAGAAAAATGGGTTCCCTACTGAGACTAGAGACTAGACGAAGAATCTTGACCATTGGCGTTTCGGAGTTGAGTACATCCATGCGCAACCCGTTTGACTTTTCATGTTCGACCGCCGCTGTTTAATGACCATTCAGACTTCCATAGTGGGCATTGAATGGACCGCTACACGCAATTGGACTATTTCCGATTTTCTGAGAGAACGAATGTTCAGGAACATCTCACTTCGCCCTCTTTTCAGTATTACTTCTTTTCTCGCAGTTCTCCTCATAAAACGAAAGGGCCATTTGGAACTCAAATCGGCAACTAGAACTACAAAAACGCTTTTTCTGGCAAGCCACTGGGGTTAAATGGAGAGAGACAAGAACGGGAAAGGACCCTGACAAGATTGATTGCTACCACTTTTTGTGCCTTTCAAAGTTATAATAGGAAAATTCTTAATGGGAGTTTATACAAAAACAGGAGTATAGGCGTCCATTCGATGAGGGAATATCGCTCTATTGATTGCTTGGCAAGACGCCGAGGTTCAAGGCCGTCACATGACCACTGTGCCCGGGGCTTGATTAGGATGCGCCGACATCGATGGCGTCTTCTGGCCCACGCATACTCGTGGCATGATTGACGCGGCGTTGCTACAACCCTAGCGATTCGCCGACTATGAACACTACCTTTACGCCCTCTCGCATACACTCAAAAAAATGTTGGCGAAGAAGTTGTCTCAGATAGAGTAGCATGATTGTGAATATCGTTGTACTACAGTGGAGTGAATTATTACTTCTTGTATTCAGATGTATCATCGACTTTTCGAAGCTGGTAAGAAACGTGCCGCACTGTCGCCATCACAAGATCTGCAAAGTGCCGTAGAACTGAGCAACTATTTGGAAAGAGCCGGAAGAAAATAGAAATCTTCATGTACGTCACAACATCAAAATGTTTGGGGGCAAACTACGAAGGATGTATGGGTGACGTGTAGTGTATGTGTGGCCGATGTACGATAACAATAACATCTGCATATTGATCAATATCGATTTGCTCTTCGTCTGTATACGTGCGTACATTTGTCTGCGATTTAGATCAGATCTACGATTGTTTTACCGTATATGTTTTGTAGTTTTATGTCAGTATTAACCTATCATTCCCGACCGGCTACTTGATAATATGAAAATGATTATAATTGATGATGATAATGATGATGATAACGATGATAATGATCTCAGCTTGACGGTAAATGTATGAATTAAAAGGTTTCCGTTAAAAATGATGAAGTAATCACTGATCCAGAAAAAAAAGAGTAAAATCAAGTGAAATAGCTCGAGCTCTCGTGTTTCCCAGTCCCTCTTCCGATTCTTCAGAAATGCTTCAAATTGAGATGTTCGTCCCACTTGAAACTTGAGTCCATCCCTGCTTATTTCGCCATCCCTTCCATTCCTCTATGGCCGAATCACAAGTAAAAGTACGGCCCATGAAGACGGTAAGACTAGTCTGGACCCCAAAAACTGTCGGGCAGGATGCGTGCGTGTAGAAAACCGCAACCGTTGGAGAAGGATTTCAAAGACATGACGCTTCCTTGGTGATGGCCAATTGATGTGTTCTTTTTAAAAAAACACCCTGAATTAGTTTTCAATGGCTTAATATTGATGTTACGGTACAACATCAGTCTAAGCCAAGGAAAAAGCCGACACTTCCCACAACCCCAAAAGTCGTCGCCATGAAATCCTGAGGCCGATAAAATTGGAACTGCCAGTTTTTGTGAGCAGCAGATGACTTGGCTCCTGCCGAAAATGTGACAAGTAGAAGTACTGAGAAGATACAAGAAAAACCACAAAAAGTTGGTTGACGGCTGAAGACTTTTTGTTTATGGAAAAGCCCCACCAAGCCATCAGACTAAGAAAAACTAGAATAGCAAGCACCTCAGGGATTTACATTCAGTGAGGTGGAATTTCCTTACTGTCCTGTTCGTGGGAATAAAATGCGAAAAAGTAAATGCAAAGGTTATCTCGTCGTTGTCTAGGACATGGGTATCGATCGATTTCCTTTCCCACAGCGCCCAGCGCAAATCTTGACGCCCACGCGGTCGTGACTCAGAAGTCTCCTAGCCAACTAGATAGCCTATAATTCCAAGCTAAGATCGAACCAGAAGGCTTTTTTGTGCAGTTATAAGATGTGGGTAGTGTGGCCAACCAATTTTTGAAATGCTCATTAATAAAGTCTGCAAGTCTAGCACTAACTAGACTGGACTTTTATGGTAGCACATGTTTTTTTGACTTTAAAGATGGAGGAGGATAAATGGAACTCCGCCGGTCGGAGTTCATGTCAAATAAAAGCTGATTAATTAATAATTAGCAGGGCAATTATATCGATGTTTGTTTGCAATTAAATCTCGCCGGCGCTAGCAGCCCAGCAACAGAAAGCCTATCCTTGGGCCACAGACCACAACAATGCATAGTCGCGTTGTTGAGGGTTCCTATCAGGAGAAAAATGGCGAAAATTAGGATAAAGCATAAAGAATGGATGGTTTTATCTTTGGGAAGGGATCAGAGCTACATGAACTTGCTTAATGGGTTGCTTACCGCACGCTGGAAAAAGTACATGAGCTTACTGTCCTGGCAATTACATCAACGGAATTCGGGAAAGGTAATTAGTGGCATTGCAAGATGGTGTTCCAACTCCGTTTAAGCTTCAGGAAATACCTGAAATGAAGCATTGGGAAAGACAACGGGATTCACAATACACAGTACTCATGACCTGTGATTCACCACAAATGGGATTGGATTTATCTGTCTTACCCAAGAGTTAAGCCCCTGACTTGAGAAGACTGAATGTAGAGAGGAGATGACCTTTCGCTTCCCATTAATCCTAATAACAAAGCGAAATCCCCAACATCACCCTGTTCCTTGAAGGGCAAAATGTAGTGGGAAGCAGGGTTTTCGAGTCCATTTCAACGCTTTCTCAGCGATGGAGTAGTTACTGATCAAATACGCTTTCATTTAGGCATTTGTATGGTTTCAGCATCTCACCCATTTTGGTGTTCATTCCTTCCCATAGAGCTTGAGCAGAAGACTCTAACACTTCCGTGTTTCCAGGCACCACTAGAGGGTGTTAAGTAGCAGTCCAATTTTCCTCTTCCAGTCCTTCGGAGACGCAGTGCAGAGTGGAGGGGTGTGTACCGATTCGTGCGATTCTGGGTGCGCGCGGCAAATGGCGCGACGAAATTCGGTGCAATTTGGACGACTGCAGCGCTATCATTATTTGAAGCAAAGTAGGTTAGTAAGGTTGTCCGACCCTACTAAAGTACTTTACTTCAAGTCTATACCCCAGTGATAGACGCCAGAGTTGTTTGAATCATCGCGAATTTCGCCGCGCAATCCGCCGCGCGCGCCCAGAATCGCACGAATCGTGCGTCCCCCCAGAGTGTAGTGAGACCTTTCCGACACCCTCCTCTTCACCTTTGTCAATAGGGAAGAAAGACTGTGCGTTTCGCCGCCGTTAGCCAGACAAGGGCTTGTTCGGGTTTGTAGTTAACTCCGAAGCGCTCTTTCATCACCAATGGGCAGCATAAGTACAGTGTGAATGGAAATCCGGGAGGCGCGCATCATGAAAACACCTTGAACCGCTCAGCTCACTCCTAATCGAAAATGATGGAAGGAGGAAGGAAAGGGATAATAAAACTGATGAGCGTTAGTCGTTGATCAGTTCAGGTGCTATGGATTAGCGGAGGGTTTAAATTCAGTTTAAGGGTGCCACTCCATTACGCTCTAAATTTCTAACCTTAAGGAGGGTTCAAGCACAAAGAGTGATAAGACGACGGCTCTGAAGGTCTGTGGTGGCTTTCAGAACGGTTTGGAGCAAGGGGAATTGAAGTTTTTGCCCGGGCCTCAGGAGAGTAGGTGCCCAGGTTGGGTAAGGCGCCGACCTGCCAAAAATGAAATGGGAGATGCCAACAGGATACCCTCTGAGAGAGCGGTGGCAGAACATTAAGACTTGTGCCCCCCTCCAACTACATTTCCTCGTAGTGGAAACCTGGTTTTGCCATTCAATGATTCATTAGCATGAAAAACACAAACCTATAAAACAATTAGTGAGTCTGTATGCAGCCATGCTCTATCCCCTATACCACCTTCCCCAGACTTACCCTAACATGCAAGTTAACCGTGAAGAACCAAATATGGCATATGCCGAAAATTTCTATTATTTTAGTCATTTCGTAGAGGCTCCTCTCCACTTCTCCCTTCCCGCCATAGGAACCTGGTCGTCAGTGGTCGAAGAGGTTGCGAAAAATTTTTGGCGCGTTGCCAGCCGGGATCCGCTTGATTGGATGGCTCTGTCTTTCACAAGCGGGATTTGAAAGGGCATGGGTGCTGCCGTGTGGTGCTTTTCAAATACCCTCGATGCATTGGCTTCGCGCCAATTTGTTGAAATCCTCGGCCAATCGTCTCTCAGTACTGGATATCGGATGACCAGCAACTAGAAATCGACAAAAAAGGTATCTGGGGGAATTCGAGTCTCGTCATTTACAATTGTTCTCTTGCTTTGCAAAAAGCCACTTCCAAATCAAGATAAATAAATTAGCATTAAAAGGTCATTACTGCTGGTGTGTCGGACCTAAAAGCACGGGGCAACTGTTTTCGCATATGCGGTCATAAATTTGCCACAGCCATCTTAACAACGGCGACAGTTGCTTTTCTGATGATAAATTTCTTCTATCTGTTAGTCTGGAATGTTTTGAGGGCATATCGCTTTTCTTGGGACGACCGAGTCCGGGTCGTTTGGGATAATCCTTACATTTTCTCCAAATCTGCACACTTCCCGAAATTGAATTTACTGCTTCTTTCCTCTCGCTTACAATAAAACAACTTTTTTGCTTTCTACTTACTATAAATAGTGATTTTGGGAGTAATCAAGCATGTTGTGTGTTTACTTGTTTGTTTTGGCTAGCTTCTCTTTATAATCACCATTCAACTCAATGTTTTGTTTGAACAGGCATTTATACAGATCAGAGTATAGTTCCATGAAGAAACTGAAGAGTCACCCTAATTTTGAAATAGGGTGACTCTTCATTTTCGCAGAGCATGTTCAGGTCACTTCATCCCCCCATTATTTGTTGTTTCTCCCTCTACACCCGGACCCGAAGTTTGCGTGCTTCTTTATGATGCGAGAAAAAAAAGCTGAACGTACTAAAATTCACTTGGTTTATTTTTAGTTGTAGTTTACTGAATGTCCGTTCAGACCCACGTTCGGGAGAGTGCGTGAACCAACGGAATGTTTTGTTTATGAGCGAACCTTGAGTCATGATGATGAACGACCTGTCTTGTGAGTAGCCATTGGACGTGCATCGCTAGAAAGTGCGAAAAACACTGGATAATACTGCTCAGTTTCACCACCGTCGGAGTCGAACTTCTTTTCTCCTCCCAATTTATAGTTTTGATGGGCTCATTAACTTTGACATCATTGTTTATGCATTTTATGCTTTCTCTATGGTTATTTATGGCCTCATTAAAATATGAAAAAGATGTACGTTAAGGTTTGCATTTACGCAGAACGAAGTCGTTCTGTTGGAAGTATGATCATGTTGGATACCTGCCTGGACTACATAGTTCTCAACTCCATCTCCAAACGACTGGGGCGAGCCTATTTCAGATTTCTCGAAGTTCTGGGCAGAGAACACAAAAGCATTTCTCTTGCCATATTTAGAAGTTTACGCAGGAGTTCCATCTCATAGTTTGTTTATCTAACGAGGACTTTTCGATAAACTGTTCCATTAAGGTAAATAACTAATTTATTCTTTGAAGCATCGCTCACTTCAAGTCCAGAGCGGGGGAAATGGGAAATTCACAAAGAAGAAATGCGTATCGGTTGGGAGGATCGGAGAATCACGAATATTGTTGAAATACAGGCGGAGCTG